CTGCACGGTCACTGCCAGGGCCTGGGGCAGCACCCGCACCAGCGTCGTGCAGGAGAGGGGCAGCCTGTGTTCACCCAGACAAAATACCCCTAGGAATTAGGGGATGACACCAGCAACTAATGTAAAGCAGGTTTCTAAAGGGCAAAACAAACGGTTTTCAGCGCAGAATTATTCTAAAAACAATGCATGATTAAGATAGATGAATTTAATGTGACCTGTTCTGGTGGGAGTACGAGAACCAAAGCCAGGCTGTCAGTGCTACTTTTTGGATGCTGTAAGAGGCATCAGATATTTTAGATTATAAATCTCCTTCCCATTCTCTGTTACACACTGCTTCAAAATCCAACATGAAAAGAAAATACTACAGACTTCTTCTACGCACAGATACATATATGTGTGTGCGTGTGTAAAATGAATAGTATCCAGTTTATTTCTGAAAGGCTTTGTCACAAAGCGTTTGTAGTGGAAGGAAGCAGCTTTTAAAAACCCTGCTATTAAGTGTCAGAGGATCAACACTGCTTTGTCCTGTAGCAGAAATAGTTTATGGCGTATCTGTGTCGGAGTTCCATTAAAGAAAGAAGGGTAAGTCTAATCGTGCTGCAAGAGCCCCTGGCACTCTGCACTTACACCTCGCGAGGGGGATGCTGATGCCAGAAACCCAGCTTTGCCCTGCGTGTGGGTCTGTTTGCACTGTAAAACCGTGAAGGAAAGCGAAGGGAAAGGGTTAAAACCCAGCCTTACGGGTTGTTACCCTCGTTAGTCACCATCTCAGCGGCAGTGATGGGAGGTGATGGCGGAGGCTGCGCTCCCATCTAGGTCAGGGCTTGGGGCGGGCAGCTCGGCTTCGAGGGGCGATGCCTGAAGCCCCCACCCCGCCCAGACGGCTCCAGGCTCACCCCAGTCCTCTGAAGATGCTGAAAATCTTCAGGGGGGGCCAGGGCCCCAGGAGCCACGTTTCAGATTCTGGTCCTATAAATATTTATTAATTCAAATGCTTTTATGCTCATGCATAGTTCTTTTGCATAGCATATGTTCACAAGGTTTATCAACATAAATGGATAATATCGGGTAATTTTCCTTTAGGTGTTGTATTTGACCATTTTAAGGGGGGAAAATAATCCAGTTTTCCAAATGGGTATGGTCAGGAACAAAACACACCATAAGCAGATTTGCTGGGACATCTTGCAAAAAAGTGCTCTTGATTCTGAAATGCCAAACTAAAAATGAAAGTTAAGAGTTTAGCGATGAAGTGGGCAGTAAAATGAGTTGCTGATCACTGAGATTCTCGGAGCTGGTGACGGACACTCGTGCCACAAAAGCCGTTTGAAAGGATTCCTTGCTGCGCTGGCGGCGGGCAGGGCGAGCAGCGGCCCGGGCCAGGCCACG